TCTGATTGGATCTACGCCTTCATGTGTCTGTGTGTGCACATTAGCGACATTATGTCAATATGCGCCTTTGCGTGTGAGCCGACGGGCGTGTTTACATTGTGGCGCGCCGGTGTGTGCACGTTTGTGTGTGTGTGTGTGTGTGTGTCACGGGGTACGAGACGAGGCGAGTGGTGCGGTCGTGTGATAGTGTTTGTCACCCCGAGCGAGCAGCCACGTCAAACTCTGTCAGGGTAGTTTTCCCCGGCCGTGGATGTAACACATCCCTCTGATTACTCTCTCTGTCTTTCTGTTGCCGTGTGTGTGAGTGTGCGTCTCATTCAGATAGTGTGCGTTTTCTTCATGACCAGCTTTTTCTTTTGCCCCCCCACATTTCAAATGCTTATCGGACAAACTGACAGTGAGAGCAAAGAGAGAGAATGGAGGGGTGATGGGCTTTTTATTTTTGATATTCATCTTTGAGAAAAATACCTAGGAGGGAGAGAGAGCGTGTAGAGGAGTGGGTGTTGGGAAGGAGGAGGGAGGGTGAGGAGAGAGTAGGAGGGTGCAGAGAGGGACGGAGAGAGAGCTAGCTGATTAGATTGGAGAAAGCCAAGGAGGTACGGGTATACTATTGAGCAAGGGGAGAGGCAGAGGGGAGGGTGACTAAGTGAATGCAGTTTGCCATCGCGTGTCGCCGTATCACAGCGAAGTCCACTGGCAGGCAGACGGATCGGACCCGAATCAACAAATGGAGACAGAAAAACTGGATGTATACTGCATGTGAGGAGAAACCAAGGGAGGATATAGAGTCTGCCTTCATATCCTTTTATCTTTGCATCTAATACTACTGTGAGGAACCCACAGGGAGGGAAAGAAAAACAGCGGACAACTCATTTTTCCTCTAACACGTCTGTGAAGCAGAGGAGCTGTGAATAGAGTGAGCTGTGGGACTCGCTGGGATTTCTGAATATAAGCTCAGTAAGTATTTGTATAGGCTGTGTAAAGGCACTGTATGAGTGTGTGTATGTGTGTGTGTGTGGACTGATGCCTCAGCTTTGTGCGCTGCCTCTGATGTTTTTTCCTCATAAGAAAAAGGCGAATATAAGGAGCGCTGGGAGGGAATTTAAATCCAGTTGTGCCGCTGCAGTGTTTCCCTTTATTGTCACATGTTGTTGGCGTCACTGAGCTGCTTTTCTTTTCTAATTTAAACAACTACCCCAGACTTGACTCTGTGTGCTGTTTGTGCCTTTTCCTCCTCAGTTGCCGGTGTGTGAGTGTGTGTGTGTGTGTGTGTGTGTGTGTGTGAGAGAGAGCTGATAATAGCAGCTCCATTGGTATTCAGCGGAGGGAGCTCCAGGATCTCGCTGCGCCTTTCCCCAGGATGGGATCACAGAGCAGGGATTGTGCTTGCCTGTGGAGAGCCCGCTGAAATGGGTGAGTGTCCATCCCGCTCCTTTTCCCCCTCCTCTTTTCATTCTCTTTCACCTCTTAGTTGATTGTTTCCTAAATATATATAAATATGTATATATGTGTATGGCTTTAGTCTGCAGTTATATACAGAGCATTTTCATTCCTGATGGGCCCCCCTCGTTTCCTTGTGTCTCACCCACTCACCCTGTCCAGCCCCACCTGTTTCCCTCCATCACTCCATCCTCCTTTTCTTTTACCTCCCCCCAAACGCCTCAGGGCATAAGCCGTCCTAACCAGTTTTAATGGACATAGACAAAATCTGAATGGCTCAATCCATTTTGCTGCCTGTCTCCCCCCTCTCTTTGCCTCCTTTTCCATCTTCCCCTCTTTGGCTGTGTCACCCATTCC